ATTATACGAGAAAATGCGTTTCAGCACAAACAACTCGAAAGCACAAATTCCATGGAAATTCCACGGAACTCTCATGGGAGTAAAAATGAATTCATAATGAAGCAAGAACAGCACCAACAGAGAAAAATATAACATTTTCATAGACGTTTCGGAGGATTTGTACTCGGTAAAACCCTGCCGAAATTTTATTACAAATGCAACAAATAGCGAACTTTTCATACATGAACTGAAATAAAGAATACCGTTTGTCATTTCCGTGCGCAAGCCACTTTTAGGAGAGCAAAAGTTGACCACCCCCCTGGATAGCAAAATTTACTATTTTCAATTTTTTTTATATTTTCCATAATTTAACAACTCAAGCAATCCATACATATAAAAAATTACATTTCATGAACAGAATTGTGGAATTGAGAGCAATTGCAAAATTGTCTTACTTTTTTTGATACACCCTGTATACACTAGTTTATACTGGGTATTCTATACATGGTTTAATTTAGTAAGGAGTTTGTCGTGTTAAGTCACAGTCAACTTCGAGCCCGAGTCAAATGTCCAAGTCACTAGCTAGTACCCTAACCCTACTCCTAACCCAGGACCGTAGCCCCCCCCAATAATTTGCTAATGATCATTCTTTTTCCAAAATCATGCAGACCTTTATCATTTAAATAATACACCTTAAAAATACTGACAATTGATTAATTTTAAGCGGCTACATTATCCATGACAAACTGCAAATGAACTTATCCAATATATAGTTAATTAACAACATACTAAAATGCTGTTTTCTGACCATCACAATTCTGTCAAATCTTCCCCCAAAGTCCAAGAAATGGCCTTTCAGAGACTCTAAATTTAAACATTTCCTCACTTTCAGCTCCCCAATCAAAAATAACTTCCTACGGCACTGTAACCCTAACCCTTCTCCTAACCCTATACTCCTAACCTGATTTTACTTGTCAACAGGGAAGCTCTGCTAGGCATATCCCGATTATGCTCAGCAACTTTTGAGCAACTTTTTGCGTTTGGAGCAACAATTGGTGACTTATTTCAACTTAAACCTGTAATGGATGGCTACATTTTCATTTATCTCCAGTCTTTAAACTATTATAGTGTTCTTGCTCCAAATTTATGGAAAAAATATTTTAGACTGTTTGAACTTGATGAGATCATGCGACAAAGAGAAAGTAAAATGTTTGCTGAAATCTTAAATAGGTTACGAGAAGGTAAACATACAACTACTGATCTTCAAAATCTGAAGGAAAGATGTGTTCAGGAATCGAGTTGTCCTCAAGAAGCTCCACGCTTGTTTATTCAAAATACTTTAGTAGACAAATATAATGAACAAGTATATGAATCATTTACTGATAATAGATATACAATTAAAGCTCAAGATAGTGTTATTGGAGCAGCTTCAGCTGAACTTAAGGAAAAAATAATGAGGCAAATACCTTATGTTCCGTTAAAAAATTCTAAACAGTTAGCTCACAAGCTAAAACTTGCTGTTGGGCAACGTACAGAAGTTGCAACAAATGTGCGAACTGACGATGGTCTTAGAAATGGGGCGAGTAACATTATAAAGTTGATACAGCTCACTGATGAGAATAAACCTTCGGGTCTTATTTGGGTCTAATTTGATTATGAAGATGTTGGTAGAAAAACTCGTCAAGAAAACAGAACGCTTTATGTCACAGGAATTCAAAGCACATGGACACCAATTAAACCTGTCACAACCCAATTTCCAGTTGGTAGAACGAAATCTGCTCAAGTTGTTAGAAAACAGTTTCCATTGCGACCAGCATCAGCAAAAACTGTTCATAGATCACAAGGTGATACTCAAACACAAATTGTTGTAAACCTAAACAGCAACAGGGATTTCCCCCACATTCATTATGTTGCTCTAAGTCGAGTTACAACAATAGAAGGATTATACATCACTGACTAATGTGAAGACAAGATATCTGTTGATCAAAGAGTTGTCAAGGAAATGGAAATCTTAAGAACCGAAAAAAGCTTGAATCTTTGTTTCAAACCACTTTATATGTTGGATCAATCTGATTTGAAAGTTTGTTACCTCAATGCACGATCTCTGCATAAACATATTGAAGATGTTCGAAAAGACATTAATTACTCGTCTATGGATATTGTGATATTTACTGAAACAAGGTTTAACTCCTCAGACACTGACGATATATACAACATTGATGGCTACAGGTTGTTCAGAAATGATGTTTCCCAAGGTACGGGTCCAGGACGTCCATACGGTGGAACAGCTGTTTACAGCCGAGTTCCTTTAAAAGAAGGATACCCTTATGCTCACAACGTCAATGGAATCGAGTTTACAATTATTAAAACAGAAAGTAATCCGCATCTGAATATAATTGGAATATATCGCTCACCCAGTATTGCTATATCACGTCTACTGTCTTCACTACGTAGCGTACTTGATGAAGATTATAATTCACATTATAATTGGAGATTTCAATGTCAAGTGGATGGTAGAATCTGATCGACAGTCACTCTACAATTTGATGGTTGTACAAAATCATTACAGGCAACTGATAACAGGCTTTACAACCGACAACCGAACGTTAATTGATCATTTATACACAAATTTAATTGAAGAGGGAATTGAAGCTGGTATTCTAGAAACATACTTTAGTGATCATAAAGCAATATGGGCTTCTCTTAGGACACAGAAATAAAAATTATGTACTGTTTAATTAAGGTATCGTAAAGATAGCAAGCAATTGTGCCACTGTAATGTTATTTAGGCAAGCCGTTGTGCCATTGCCAGTTAAGCGGCTGTGCCACTGCCAACGTTACTAAGGCAAGCCATTGCGCCACTCCCAGTGTTATTAAGGCAATCCGCTGTCCACTGCCAATGTTATAAAAATAAGTTATTGTGTGTACGATGCTACATTTAGGTAAGTTTTCTGTTTCTCTTTCCCCTCTCCCTTCCCTGTGTTTATACGTTTAATTGTTTTTTTTTCTTTTTCAGATATCTCTATACATTAACATGGTCCCATTAACGATAACTTCAGTCAACAAAAGTACTCAAAATAGAACAATTTTGGTATGTTGCTACGCCTTATTACCATCTAGTCATGTCACGGACAAAGCTCGAATTGTATGGCTTATGAAATCCATGTTACATTATACATAATTGCATTCACTAATACTCTTGTATTAATATTTACAGACATCAGACGTACAGTATACAATAATATGCCTGTCATTTGGTTGCGCCTGACAACATTGGTGGATAAATTATATTGAATGATATCATCTTATGTCAATGAATATTCAAAAACGAAACAATTCAATTCAGCTACCAATTGCTTGACCATTAACTGACACAACCACTTTAACGAAATCGCACGTACAAAGAAAAGTTAACACGTCTACGGTTGTGTCGTTATGTCATCTGAAAAATCAATGTGGAAGACTTGAAGAATAATAAAGATAAACAGTACTTGAAGATACGATTTGGATATTTGTTGTACGGTACATTGCACCTGGCTCTGATACCAAAACATGTTAAAGCGAAAAGCTACTCGACGAAGTCGCACGTACAGTACAAAGTCTCAAAGAAAAGTTAACGCGGCAAGGAAGATTTGATAATTAAGAAAGATGCACAGTACTTGAAGAAGTACTTTATATTGTACGGTACATTGCACCTGTTCGAATACTCCTAATCGAGCCAACAATGTGCATGAGTACCTGTTATACGAACAATGGACTCGATATGCATCATAATCAACATCTTCAAACTTACACTGGGTAGAGCATGTACTGTAATACGCAATAACACGTGTTCTATTGCCATAGAAAAATGACTCGTCTTTTAGTTTTTACTAGCTGAGTGCTTGTTATTTATAATTCACGTTGTCATTGACCATGTTTGGCAAACTTTGGAAATTGTGCAATCGATTGTAATTAAATCACTGACTTATAGACTTATTTTGTATGTTGAAAAATTTACTGTAACCCATACTCTAGTTTCAATTTTGTATATACAGTAGCCATGGTCCAAAATAAATCTTATTTAGTGTTGTACTATTTTTGTTGATTATCATTGTCAAACGTTATACATCGTTGCATTAGTTTACTAATGAAGTAAAACTTTCTATAGATGTCTAGTGCCAGAAAGTCGTATCTCTGCAAGCCTAGATTTAGGCAAATCTTTGCGTACAACATAGACGGATGGAGGAGTGCGACCCCCCTCCCCCAAGAAAACCTGTGCGCTCCCCAAAAAGTTTTCCCGCCCCAAAAAAGGTTTTGTTAGATTAGTTATAAGCGCACGCATCAAAAGGTTTGATTGGCATGCAACATGTACGCACTGCGTACCTATTTTTTGGATTGCTATGCATGTTATTATTCTCGTACCAACACAAAAAGTGACCCACCGCATGTTCTGATTAATCTGTACCATCCCACCAAACTGGTACTAAGATGTTAGAATCATCAGCATATTTGAAAAGAGCACTCTCATGATCAATGTCAATCTCCAGATCGTTTATAAAAATCATGTTGAAAAGATACGGGCCGCTAACGCTTCCTTGCGTTGTTCCTTTATTGACGTAGTTCCAATCCCCATAGTAAATCTCTATAAACGACTCTCTGTTGTCTGTCTTTAAGAAAGTTTAGGTACCAATTTATAGTATATGGGTTTAGGGTGTGCTATACTTTATGTTAGATTTATATATTGAAACACTGAACTGTACATATAACTGGACAGTAGATTATCACGTGACTTTTGATGTTGTTCAAGATGGCGTGGGATTGTAATAAGTAAACAGTTTATATTCGCTTTATATTTGGAATACTGACTAAAGTTTGTACATATTTATAATTATATTAAATGGTTATTGTTATACACATCTTCGAATCCTGATCTAGGATATTCAATATGAAACATGGTCCTTCTTTGAGCCGGATTGAAACGGATTGAAATTTGATATTATGAGAACACTTCAAGAAATACGAGCCAATTTACGAGTTATTTGAGAGAATTTACGAGTCCTTCGGGAGAATCTACGAGTCCTTTGGGAGAATCTACGAACATATGAGATAATTAACGAGCTTCGAAAGAATTTACGAACGATTGAGTGAAATATTTACGAGAATTTGAGCGATATACGAGTCATATAAAGCGAACATCGAGACATTGGCAAATCTACGAGTATCTGAGTAAGTCTATACGATTATTTGAGCGAATTTACGAGATTTATTACACCTACAAGTATTTGGAATCATTATATACGAGCTTTAAAGAGAAATAAACGAGAAATTGCGCCTTAGAACAATATACAGTAACTGTGAACCAAAGGGATTATTATAAGGTATTTATATACATTTTGAGAAGTTAGATAAAGAGTATACACGTATTCGAGAGTGTAACATTGTTATTATGAGTGAAGAAGCAACAAAGAAACGTAAGATTCGGGGTGGACATAGAACGTCAACTAAGAGAACAATAAATGCTTCATCAACAATTCTTGACGATTTTGATCCTTCAAATAAACAACTTACCGAGAAGTTATTACAACAAAAGATTACATTAAAGGAAAAACTAGACATTCTGCAAAATTTAGACAATGATATACTAGCTATTACTGAGGAGAAAGATATTGAAAAGGAGATTGAAGAAAGTGATCTTTTAAGAGAGAGAATACATGCTACAATTGTCGGAATTGATTCTGTAGTGAGCCCTATGAGCCTACATCCATCACCAAGTCCAGAAGGAACTCAAGAAGAAGGGAATTCTCATAATTCTAGTATTATAAGTCATTCGTCGGCCAAGATAAAGCTACCAAAATTGAGTTTAAAGAAGTTTAAGGGAGATATTAAGGAGTGGACTCCATTTTGGGACAGTTATACTTCAGCTATTCATGACAATCCTGACCTAAGTGATATTGATAAATTTAACTATTTGAACTCCCTACTTGAATCAAAGGCAGAAGAAGCAATTGCTGGGTTAAAGATTACATCAGCAAACTATCAGGAAGCAGTTGACGTGTTAAACCAGAGATTTGGCGACAAGCAACAGATTATTAATTCACATATGGACAGCCTTCTTCAACTACCTGCAGTAACAAGCCTTCATGATGTTCAAAGTATTAGACAGCTTTACAACAAGGTTGAATCGCATATCAGAGGTCTCAAGTCTTTGGGAGTAGAGACTGCGACATATGGTAATCTAATGATCTCAATATTGATGCAACGGCTGCCACCGGGTTTACGTATTATTGTAACAAAGAAGATGCAAGAGGATGAATGGTCTTTGGATAAACTTATGACAATCTTTCGACAGGAATTAGAGGCTAGAGAAAGAGCAAATCTGCAGTGTTTACCTTCATCAAAGTCCAGTTATCAACGAAATAAACCGGGAACAGCTGCTACTCTTTTCACGGGACTGCATGACACTACCTGTTCTTATTGTCAAGGAAAACACTTATCTGCAAACTGTAAGATAGTGACCAATGTGGCTGCAAGGAGAGATATTCTGAAACGAAGTGGACGGTGTTTTGTATGTTTAAGGAAAAACCATATTAGTAGGGATTGCCAATCAAACATCAAATGTTTTAAATGTGGTAGACGACATCATGGAAGTCTGTGCATGGGCGGCCAACCCCGACAACAACACCCTAATTCTGACCCACCAACCAACCAGCAAGAACCTCGGCATCCACGTCAGCCCACAACAGAGACTGAGAAAAGCGACGAAACCGGAATTGGTGGCAAGAACTTACCAGCACAACCGAACAGAGAAAGAGAACAACAACAGCAACAAGCTACCACAAGTCAAGCCATGTATGTTGGCACAAGAACATCCATCTTGTTGCAGACAGCGAAGGTCAACATATACAAGCCCGGAATGCAGGAAAACAGAGTAAATGCTCGACTTATACTGGATAGTGGGAGCCAACGTTCTTTCGTGACAACCAGAGTGAAGAATCAATTAAACCTTGATGCAGAAGGGACAGAAAACCTCATGATTAAGACATTCGGAGGCGAAGCAGAGGAACTACAAACATGTGAATTTCTGCACTTCAACATTGAGACAGAATCTACTTATCCCGATCTTTCACTTACAGCATTTGTAGTACCCACAATTTGTCAACCCCTCAGACACCAAACAACCCAAACGGCACAAGAAATTTACCATCATCTCGAAGGTCTTAATCTTGCAGATCTTAATACTGGCGAAGAAGAGTTAGAAGTTGATATTTTGGTGGGATCTGATCAATATTGGAATTTAATAACTGGAGCAGTTAGACGGGGAGATTCTGGACCCAACGCAATGAGAACAAAGGTCGGCTGGGTTCTATCTGGTCCTGTAACAGATCCTGTGAGTGAGAAAACCAGTGTTAACTTGGTGAACACGCATGTTCTGAAGTTTGCAACACAACCATTGACCCCTGATGCAACAGATATGACACAAGAATTACGAAGATTCTGGGAACTAGAATCATTAGGTGTTTTCCCCAATGACGAGTCAGTCTA